CTGAATACATAATTGTTGAGGTTGGATTGAGCAAAATAGCCTGTGTGAACTGCTCTATTGCTTCCTCTAGTTTCCCTAATCAACCGAAAACCATCAAAATCAAATTATGAAAACATTTGTTTACAATATATACACGTGTGTATGTACATGTAATGAAATTAGAATGCTTTCAGAAATTGCTTCCACCTTAGCCTCCTGCGAAGCATCATGGTTTTCTTCCATGACCTCGATAGAAGAGTCTCCCATCTACAAAATTCAGCATTAATAAGATAATACATGTTAAAAATATCAAAATTCTGAATCAAGCTACATGAAAGTGAATTATATCATACCTTTCAAGGTAGTCTCGGAAAAAGGAGAGAGAAAGATTGGAGAGGATTGAGGTATTGGACTTGCAATCATCGATGAATTGCTTTAACTGGTTCAAGTTCACGATCAGAGAGAAGATTGCAGAGAGGTCGAATCGTTCGATACAGAGGAGTGCATAGAGATTAGTTAGGGTTTGAGATCAATTGATTAAGAATTTGTTTGGCTTCGTAGTCTACATTTCCATGGCTCTCGTTAAACCCTAACTTCAAATAAAATGATGAATTCGAAGCTTTTAGGAAAAAATGATCGAGAGACAAAGAAAAATTGATCGATTAGGAGAGAAAGTGAATGACATACATTGTGAGGCCATGTGAAGTCGCGCGATTGATCAGGGAAATGCTCGAAGAACATACCTCAAACAGACTAGAACGAAGAGAGCTCGAAAGCTCGCACACACACACACACACACACAGAGAGAGAGGTTTGAAGCAAAAACATGAATAGATAGAATGAAAAAGAGAGTGGTGAACAGGGTCTTAAAATAATGTTTTTGAGTTTTTTGTTTTTGTTATTGTAAGTTTTTAAATATTTTAAATAATTTTTTTTTATTTTTTAAATTCAAATATTTTACATATATTTAAAATAATTTGAAGGAAAATATTTTTTACTTTTCTAAAAAATCACTAAATTTAAAAATATATATATAATTTAATACATTTGATATATATTATATTTTATTATATATTTTTTATAAATATTTTACTTTTTACTTGTATCCAAATTAGGCACATCTAAAAAGTAAAAAATAAATAAATTATCAAAAGACACTAAATTATAAAATAATGTATAAATTATTTTTTACGTTGTCCTCAATTAAAAAAAATTAAGGTGAGAAGCTTGGTTGGAAATTATTAGCTTTTTTAATTAAAAAAAATAAAAAATAATTGGATTGAAATTTTGTTTAATAAAAGTTTTCACGACATGCTAATAAATGCCGTATAAAGTTATAATATTTCATGACATGAAATGTATGCTATCTTAAGTGCAAATATGTTACGACATTTTTGTATGCCGTGAAAATATGCATTTTTTATGGCATGCTTTTACATGCCATAAAAAAAATCTGATTGAATTTTTTTTTTTTTAGAAGTTTTTACGACATGTTAATGCATGCCGTGTAAAGTTATAATATTTTACAACATGAAATGTATGTCGTCTTAAGTGTAAATATTTTACGACATATTTTTTAAGTCATGAAAATATACATTTTTTACGCCATATTTTTGTATGCCATAAATATATGAATTAATGACTTACATGATATGTATGTCGTTATTGAAAAAACATTAACGGCTTGCAAAAAAAAAAAAAATGCCGTAGAATGTACTAATTACGACATGCATTTGATGTATGACGTAAATTTAAAGTCGTAAATAGTTAGTTTTGTTAAAGTGTGAGTCGGCTCAATCAGATAACGTGGATCTCGTAAATATTCCCGAAGCATTGAGACATGAAAAACATTATGCATTTGTTCCATGACCGGTGGTAAGGCTACCCGATGCGTCACCAGATTGATTTTCTCAAGAATTACGTATGGCCCAACATATCTCGGTGCCAACTTGCTTTTTACCCCAAACCGTGTTTGCCCTTTCATAGGAGTCACTTTGATGAATACATGATCCCCGACTTCATATTCTCGATCTCTTCTTCGGACAGCCGCATAACTCTTTTGGCGACTTTGTGCAGTTTTTAATCTTTGCTGAATCAATTTCACATTTTCTTTCATTTCTTGCAAAAGTTCTAGTCCTAACAAAGGTTTATCACCTGCTTTGGCACAACAAATCGGAGATCGGCATTTTCTACCATACAATGCTTCATAAGGAGCCATACTGATACTTAAATGATAACTGTTGTTGTAGACAAACTCAGCCAAAGGTAGATAAGTCTCCCAATTCCCTTGGAAATCTATTACACACATTCTGAGCATATCGTCTAAGGTTTGAATGGTTCATTTAGATTGGCCATATGTCTGGGGGTGATAAGCACTGCTTAGTCTTAGTTCGGTCTCCAAAGCCTGTTGTAAACTCTGCCAGAATCTCGAAGTAAACATGGGATCTCTATCAGATACAATAGATACTGGCACACCATGTAATCTCATTGACATACAAGTTAGCCAACTTATCCGTATTATACAAAGATTTGACAGGCAAAAAGTAGACAGATTTAGTTAAACGATCAACAATGACCCAAATAGAATCCATACCTCAAGAAGAGCGAGGCAATCCTATAATGAAGTCCATGGTAATGTGCTCCAATTTCTATTTTGGTATTGGAAGCGGCTAAAGCAGCCTAGCAGGTTGTTGATGTTCTGCTTTAACTTGTTGACAATGCAAACATCTAGCCACAAAATCAGCAATGCTTTTCTTCATTCCAGGCCACCAGAAATTCTGTTTCAAATCCTTGTGCATTTTCATGTTTCTCGGGTGCATAGCAAACTTTGAATTGTGAGCTTCAATCATAACACATTTCTCAAATCCAGACAATCCGGCACACAAAGTCGATTCTGAAACTTCAACACATTATTCTCAAACACAAATCCTGGCCTTGGTTTTGAGTCTATTTCATTAAAAATCTTCTTCAAAAATTCATCCTGTAATTGCCTTTCTTTAATTTCTTCAAGTATGGTAGGTTGGGCAGAAATGGCAGCTAAGACTCCACCTTGTTCTCGGAACACAATTTCAATCTCATTTCTTTCCAAGTCACATAACAATTCTTTTTGACCGGTGAGTAAACATGACAAATTCCCAATTGATTTCTAGTTCAAAGCATCGACAACGGTATTTTCCTTTCCTGGATGATACAGGATTTGCAAGTCATAATCTTTAATCAACTCTAACCATCTTCTCTGTCTCATGTTCAATTCTTTTTGGGTGAAGAGATATTTCAGGCTTTTGTGATCTGTATATATCTCACAAGTCACACTGTACAGATAGTGTCGCCAAATCTTCAAAGCAAATACCACAGCTGCTAATTCAAGGTCATGCGTTGGATAGTTCTTTACATGTGGGCAGAGTTGTCGAGAAACATAAGCAACCATTGTCATTTTGCATTAACACACCCCAAGCCTTTGTATGAAGCATCACTATAAATCTGAAACCCATCGGTTTCGTTGGGCAATGTCAGGATTGGTGCAGTTACCAATCTAGTTTTCAGTTCTTGAAAGGCCGATTCCCGCTAAATAGTCCAATCAAATGGTTACATTTTTCTAGGTCAATTGTGTCAATGGCATAACAAGCTTAGAGAAGTTTCTCACAAATCTATCGTAGTAGCTAGCAAGTCCTAGAAAACTTCTTATTTCTAACACATTATTTGGCCTTGGCCAATCTACAATAGCCTCAACTTTCTGTAGATCCACTGATATGACGTCTTTATTGATTACATGTCCCAGAAATACTACACTGTCAAGCCAAAATTTACATTTGGAAAGTTTTGCATATAACTTCTTCTCCCTTAGAATCTGTAAGGCAGTTCTCAGATGATTTTCATGTTCTTCCCTGCTTTTAGAATAAATCAAGATATCATCAATGAACACAACTATAAATTCATCCAGAAATTGTTTAAAAACCCAATTCATTGGATCCATAAACACCGCAGGTGCATTGCTCACCCCAAATGGCATTACCAAAAACTTGTAGTGCCCATATCTAGTTCTGAATGCAGTTTTCTCTATGTCTTCTGCCTTGACTTTTACCTGGTGATACCCGATCTAAGGTCTATCTTAGAGAACACCTGTGCTCCTTGAAGTTGGCCAAATAGATCATCTATTCGGGGTAATGGGTATTTGTTCTTGATAGTCACTTTTTTCAATTTCCGATAGTCTATACACAATCTCAACGATCCATCTTTCTTTTTGACAAAAAAAATTGGAGCACCCAAGGTGAAGTGCTCAGGCGGATAAGTTTCTTGTCTAAGAGTTTTTGAAGTTGAATTTTTAATTATTTCAATTCAAAAGTCGACATTCTGTATGGGGTTTTGGAAATCGGTTGTGTTTCGGATACAACATCACTAGAAAACTCAATTTCCCTATCAATTAAATCTCCAAGCAATTCATTTGGAAACACGTCAGGGAATTCATTTACTACAGAGATGTTCTCAACAGTAGAACCATCAAAAGTCAGAGTCAAAATGCAACATAAGTAACCCCGACACCCTTTTCTTAGTAACTTTATGGCTCTCATAAAAGAAATCAAATACATTGGATGAATTACCCCATTTCCAACAAATTCAAACTCAAGCATACCAGGTGGTCGAAACACAACAGTTTTATTCATGCAACCAATAGTTGCACAATACTTCGTCAACCAATCCATGCCCAATATACAGTCAAAATGATCAATGCTCAAAGGCAGCAAATCAACATACAATGTCATATCACCAATCATAATACCACATGCCAGATAAATATAAGCACATATCATAGAACCTCCAGATGGTGTGGACACAGATAATAAACAGTTCATAGGTTCCAAAGGTCTAATTAATTTCCGAGAAAAAGCATATGATACAAATGAGTGCGTGGAACCAGAATCTATCCATACATAGGCATTCTAAGTACAGATAGAGATTATACCTGACACCACTAATTTAGTATTCTGTCCATCCCCAAGCATTAGTGTGAACACTCTCCCTTGTCATAGCGTTTCATTCCCGGTGTTACCCCTGACATTAGCTCTGGCATTTGACATGGTTACAGAAGAAGATTCAGCTGAACTTGCTGCGGGGCGATTGGTATTCTCGGACCGGATTGGACAATCTCTCATTATGTGGCTGGTTTTACCATACTTGAAATAGGCACCCGTTTCTTGATAACAGATGCCCTTATGTTTCCTTCCATAATCTGGACAAACTGGTATAGACCCATTACTCTGACTAGAGCTACTGTAAGACCCCGTGTTTTGCTTCTTGCTTCCAAAGGAGTTGCCTTTTCTAAACTTGTTCCCCGACCTCTTTCCACTCCATTCTATTGTCATTGGGGCCTTGCTTTGCCTCATAGCTGCTAAGGTAGCTTCCATCATCAATGCTCTGTCTAATACTTCTACATAAGTAGGCAACTTCAAGATGCCAACCCAGTCAAACACTTCCAAAGTCAAGCCTCCCTCAATTTTTCGTGCCATTTTATAATCGGTATCTACCATGTGTGGAGCAAACCGGGCCAATTTGGTGAACTTAGCTTTATATTCAATGATTGACATATTGCCTTGCTTGAGTTCTTGAAATTCAGAAACTTTTTGGTCTCGAAAACATTGAGGGAAGTACTTATCGTAGAAGATTTCCTTGAATTGAGTCCATATCATGTTCCCATTATCGTTTCGGATTAACAACCACCACCTTCAAGCTTTATCCTTTAAAGTATAGGTGGCCAAGAGCACCTTTTGAGTCTCGGAACAGGGAAAGATTTCATATAGTTTTTCCATTTTAAGTAACCATGTCTCAGCCTTCAATGGTTCAATCCCACCCAAGAACGTTGGCGGTTTCATCTTCATAAACTTTTGGGTCAGGTTGATTATCTCATTGTTATCTAGTTCATTTTGTACTGGTGGAGGCGGAGGATGCATGGGTTGTTGCCACAAAGATTCCGTTGAGGCTGCAAGCATTTGTTCCATGCGACTCATGCGAGCCTTAGAGGATTCAGCTGTACTGTCACTTCTTGTATTTTCCATTGCTATAGGCAAACAGAGCACTTATAAGCATAGGCCAATAATTCTTTTCACAATATTCGGAACATTTAATCCCAATTCATTCGTTTCAATTTCGTGGGTTCGTGGTCAGATTCAGCTTTCACATGTACAAAAATTAATACACACACTCACACATGTAGATGGAATGTCCCTAATTCTTACTAGAACATCCTAAAGCTCATATGGACTCATATGTGCGATTTAACTCATGCTCTGATACCACTCTGTCATGGCCCAAACCCGCCTTTATAGGTTTAGCGTCGTAACCGACCAATAATCCTAGGATTACCAAAGGCCTCTGAACAGAATAACAAAATATAAGGGGCTGTGGAAGCAAATATACAAAATACAATGTCTTTAAAGCTGTGTAGACATACATGTAATAGAAAATTTAAAACGTATATATATATATATAATGTCAAACTTCCAGACGTCATGTATCACCATACGGATAGTACCATAAGGGACTTAGCCCAATGTATAGTTAGACAAAAATAAAACAAAAACATCCTTCACATGATTCGTAAGACTTGACTTTCAAACAGGAACCTCTCGAGGAGGCACGGTAGCTGGCTGATAAAACAAAACTCTCCAGGCAGCAGCTTAGGTCTGGTCACGCACCTGCTCACCTACATACGTAATATAAATAGTGAGCAGAAGCCTAGTGAATAATAACAGAGTAAATGTTTTAATGAATAATGTCTATAACAGAAACAAAGTCATATACATAAACAGATTTTCAAGTAGAAACAGATTCATATACATAATCACATCCGTATTCCAAGTTCATACATTTCACATGATAGTATGTGGTACATCCATTGGTGTTAACAAATCTAATGACCTATGGAGGGATGGTCGTGAAGGCATTCTGATGACCTATAAAGGGACTGCCATAAGGTATTCCGATGACTCATGTGCACATAGACGTTTCCAATGACCCACAAAGGGACGTCTATAAAGGCATTCCGATGACCCATAAAGGGACGCATATCATATGATGCTAAGGATGCCACGAATACATTTAAGAACCTTGAACAATCATTTATTCAGACAAAATATAGCATTTCAAAAAACCGATCATTTTGTATCATCAAAAAATAATTAAAGTCAAACATAACTTTACAGAGTTATTACTCACAAATGGCTCCAAAGCTATCGAGTAGACAAATCAGATAACTTACGGCACGTGATCCATACAAACATAACAGGCACATACATTGGAACACATACCCGGACAATACTTAACTTGCTATATTTCATTCTTAGTGTGTTTGTAAGTCTTATCCTCATTATTATGTCTTAATCTTGGCCTAGGAATGCCTAGGATGCAATGAGGATGCTAAAATGCACTTGAAAACACTTAGTCAAATATGTTGGAAACAACGGTGTCGCTTGAGCGCAACTTCCTTCTCTCGAGCAGACGTGCAAACATGTAAGTGGTCGCTTGAGCGCAACTTCCTTCGCTCTAGTGGTCTGTAAACTTTTCAAAAGTACTAGTTTCTTGTTTTTTCTGCTCGACCACGCTCGAGCGCAACTCTTGTCGCTCGAGCGGTCTGCAAAAATGGTAAACTTCTGGGAACATGCATTTTCCGCTCGAGCCAACTTGTGATCGCTTGGGCGGAGGTTAAAACACAAAATGGTCGCTCAAGCGCAGAATCTGTCACTCGAGCGACGAAACAGAATCTGGAATTTTTAGATTGCTATTCCAAGCACAAAACTCAAATTCAAAGCCACAAATCATGCTCTTTTGGGCCAAAAGCTTGAGAAAACATGTCTAAACTTGTCAAACATCATGGATTCAAAACCATTTCGCCAAATCATGGCCCAAAAGCTTGCCAATTGCTCAAAATTCAACTTGAAACTTAAGAATATGATGTGAACATGACATGCATGAATTGTCAAGAACTTAAACTTTCCAAAACATGATCAATTAAGGTCAAATGGTAAGAAATGTGATGAATTCTCAAAACAAGGTCAACATAGACCCATACATGTGAGACTTGTGTTAAGTTCAAACTCAAAATGCTATGGTATACGCATGCATGCATGGAATTCATCTATTTAAGCTCAATTCTTATGGTAATTCACCTATTACCCTTGATTTCATGTAGTAACCAACTAAATTACAAAACTAAAAGGTAGAAATTCTTACCTTAGAAGCTTAATTGTGTCCTAGATGTCCAAGTGGTTAAGTCACTTAGTTTAACACCTTGAATTCTCTACAATTCTTCTTCCTCTCCTAAGATTTTCAAGCTCAACACTTAATCTCTCTCTCTCTCTGTTCCTCTCTCACGTTTGATGCATCAAGAAGGAAGAAGTGAGAGTGTAAAGTGTAGTCAAGGGTCCATTTGTGCCTTATATAGGTTTGATTAGGGAATTCATTAATTAGGCTTAAATGAACATTATTTATTCTAATTATTTCTTTCCCAATCGAGTTTCAATTAAACCTACCATAATTTTCTAAAATCGGTAATAACACGTAAACCAAATCAATTTCATGATCGAATGCCGATAAGGCCTTCAATTCGCAAAACAAAAGAGGGACACAAACAAATATGTCTATAGCCGACAGATATAAACACAAATAATACTATATATACGCAATTAATTTAGAATTTTATCTTAATTATTCATTAGGCATAATTAATCATGGTTTATCAACTAATCATAGGTCGGGGTTATTACATATATGGTGCCATAGAAATCTATGCCGTGCTAGGCACTAAGTCAATAGAGAACTTAATCTCACGGTGAGGTGGCAAACTAGTGAGATCCTTAGGGAAAACGTCTAGGTATTCACAAAGTACCGTCGGCAATTAAACTAGGACTTCATCACTCTCACTACCGAAGAAGTTGGCAAGAAGACAACTAAGATCACTCCACCCACACGGATTATACACCGGTGATAAAACTCTATTGACTCTATCCACCATGAAATTAAAACAATCACCGCTCAAGGTACATACAATAACTGTTTGATGGTAACAATCTATGACAACTCAATACGAAGACAACTAGTCCATAACCAATATAGCATCAAAACTTGACATGTCAATCAACACAAATGTAAAAGGAAGTCAGCGACTGACAACCTCTATGTCACAACCCCGACACCCCTATTCCAAAACAATCTCACCACCAATAGGTGACTCTACACTGAGTGGAGATGCTAACTGAGCCAATTCTAACCCTAATGCTAATGCAAATGTAGACAAAATAAAAGAATGGGACACACTCATATCAATCAACACATTTGCAATAGAATTGCATAACAAGAAAGTACCTCTCACAACAGAAAACGCTGGTACTAGGTCTAGTGCGGTAACAACATACACACGTCTTGTAGGTCTCTGCTCCACTTGCTCACCCCTCGGAGCATAAGCCTGATGCACTGACTAAGCTAAAGACGCTCTATGATTGGCCCAAAGAGGCCTGTACTGACTGTGCAAGTTGGTGGCTCTATGTCTGACTCAAACCAGACGCACCAGGTGTGTCGCCCAATTGAGGGCAAAGTCTCTTCATTTGCCCTGCCTGTCTATACTGATAACAAGTGAGCGGCTGCCCTCTTTTCTGACTCTGGGTTTGAGAACAAGCTGCAGATGAAACAGATCGTTGCCCTCCTCCTCTTTGCGAGCAAGTTGGAGACTTGGGGCCCAACTGGCCACACTTAAAGCAGGTGAAATCTCCTTGACCACCTCTCTCAGAACTTGAACTCAGACTGGAAAAGTGGACCTTGACTGTGCTCCATGGGAATTTTGTGGGGGTAGAACCCCTCTGTTTCTTACTGTCCCCATGAACATCCTGACTCCTCTTGGAGCCCCTTATCCGTTTCTCCTCCATCTGCATCACAGTCTCAAGATCAGCTGCCGCCTCTACAAGGCGTCCATAATCTCTAATCATTGACTCGACCACCTTGAACATGAGCCCGGTCCTCAACCTTTTCTTGAATTCTAAACAATGGCGTTCCTCCGTTGCCATGAGTTCCGGTGCAAACCTCGACAGACTAGTAAATGCGGCCTCAAACTCAGCCACCAGTGTACTCAACTACTTGAGCTTAGAAAATTGGTCCCTCAACTTCTCTCTAACTGTGGAGGTAAAAACTTGTTCGGGAAGGCGTCGACGAAAGCCTTCCAAGTCACTCCAATGCGCCCACGCACATACTTCCACCATTGACCAGTGTCTTCCTTCAGTTGGAAAGATGCCAAGGTCAGTCTCAAGCCACCGTCTTCGATGCCGAGCATCTCAAACGTCTTCACCATTTGTTCAAGCCATTCATCCGCTTTCAAAGGCTCTTTAAGATCTCCCAAAAATTCATCCAGATTCAACTAAAAAAACTCCATCTTCAAGAATGACGGCCTTGCTTCAGCTACTTGGGTCTGGATTTGAATCTCAACCCTGAGAATGTCCATGGATTCCAGTAATGCTCTGGCCATTTCACGGGCTAAAGCACCAGAGGCCTACTGACCAACTAGTTCAGCCAGATTGGCCTGACTAACCCCTTCCTCTTGTGCCGGAACATCATCCGGTATTGGCACCTCCTACCATCTAGGCCTACCATGCCTACCACTACAACCACGTCTTGACATCCTAATAAAGGCAACAAAAAAATTAGC